TGCCGAATAAGTCTCTTTCAGAAATGGAAAGTTTTTTCAAACATCTATTTAAAGTTGGACTCGTTAATGCTCCACGAAAAATGACTAAAATACCGTTATTAATCAAATTGAGTTCTCGTAGACATATCTGCTTTAAGAACTGGGTGCTGCTGTCATTTAGAAGACCATCTTTTGTGCTTAATGATGAGTAGATCTGTCTCGCCACTCTTACGCGTTCAAATCGTAGATACGTAACTTCGGTTCCAACTAAAGGACGAAGTGTGTTGAATGCACCATGTAGACTGAACTCACTTTTCTCGTAAATAACACTTTTTAAGTTTAAAAAAGCACTTAGAGCCAAGTCGCTGACTTTGTTTAACCCAGTGCAAAGGAACAGAGTTAATTTCTGCACAACTCTGACATGTTGAAAACAATCCTCAGGAATGTTGTTCACTTGACCGGAAATGGTCAAGTTTGTTAAATTTTGAAAATGATTAAATTCTTCATTAAAGTACAGAGTATGACTGATGACGCTAATAGATAACGTGGTCAAATTGTGTAAGTGCCCAAACATTTGATCAGGGAAACTTCCATTGTGGAAATGGTTTTTCAAAGTCAACGTTTGGTTGTTGCTAGAATACAAATCTTCTGATTGCAACAGGAGTAGTTCTGTAAGACTTGTTAAATTACAAAATGTATCCACCGGCAAGCGAAACAAATCCAAATAATTATGTTCTAGATTAAGGTACTGTAAACTCTTAAGGCCCAAGAAAGCTTTGTGTTGTATAAACGTCAACAAATTATCCTGCAGACTCAATCTTTCTAGTTTACACAAATGATTTAGTGTGTTATTGGGTACAATTGTCAAGAGATTACTTTGTAACATTAGCTCAGTTGTGTTCTCTGGGAACCATTCCCTGTCTATGTATTTTAAAGAACGACCCGAACAGTCGATCAATGTTTGGCTCTCTATGACATTGACATTACATAAGCCGACACCTTCCATGAAGTGTCCAGTGGGGTTCAATGGCTTTGATTGTGGCGAAGTAAAGAACTTGGCTTCACCAATGTTGGTCTGTAGTTTTTGAAGAAACAGAAAGTAAATAATCAACTTTTCAATCATGCAGCGAATCATACTGTACAGTTCTGTAGGAAGAAGAATAAAAGAGATATTGTTGATAGACACATTAAGTAACTAAATAATTTGGTCTATTAATGTAAACAAAAAACAAGATTACACAAGAGAGTTTGTGTTAGCACACAAACTCAAGGGCGGCCCCCGTCAAATTCACCAATAGACGAGAAATATATTCAAGCCATATTCTTGTTTTGATCGTTTAAAGAAATTTAAAAAATGTGGCGTTATTTTTCACATACATGGCAACGCGTCGTCATCTAACTCTTCTGGGATAAGTAGAGTAGCGTTATCACTTAGATCAGCATGGAAACCTCCCGATACAGAGTCGGTGGCACCTAGTACGGTAGCTTAGGGTGTCACCCCTCCCCATCAACTTTCTTGAAATATGTTCCAATGAACACTTTTGCTAGTTGTTTTTTTTTTTTGAACAAATACGGCTAGCTGATTACGTACTTTTATTGATTTTTACTCAAATGTAAAATCCCAATGTTCATTACGTTTATTCAAATGTTATCGCAAATTTTACAATAATATTTAATTAAAATTATAAACAGACATAGCATCATATGAACAGGTTTCTTTTGTTATATTTTAAATGGTATAACGTTGTGCTGTATCATTTACAGTTAAACTACCATCTAGATGTGTCAAGGCATATTTGGGCATATATCTAGAGAATGGATTATTATTATTATTATCTTTTCCCATATGTCTGCTTTTATCAAGTTATAATTTTTCCAACTTGGTTGTCAACCCCAAAATGGTGTCGACCGCTGCGGACCGCACCCCTCCCAATAGTGACGCAACTGCTGTAACGGTCTCCTAGCAAGCTTTCTGGCCCGTCAATTTTAGTATCTGTTACATTTGATTGGAAGGCCGGCTCTCTTTCTCTTTCCTTCTTTCTCTCTCTCTCTCTCTCTCTCTGGAACCTCCTATATGTTGTTTTTTTATCCTCCCATCGTACTGTTAAATGACATTAGTTTTTTCCCTTGTATTGAAATAACCAGCTTTAAAACTTAAAAGAGCTTTATATTATTCATCAGAACCTTCTTGTATCACCTGTTACTCTTCTCCTCCCTTCCATCATTCCACGCACAACAAAAGTTTGTCCTATGTACAATGTCCTCTCAGTTGCTTTTAGACCGGAACAAAAGTTTTGTCCTATGTACAATGTCCTCTCAGTTGCTTTTAGACCGGAACAAAAGCTTGTCCTATGTACAATGTCCTCTCAGTTGCTTATAGGCCGGAACAAAAGCTTGTCCTATGTACAATGTCCTCTCAGTTGCTTTTAGGCCGGAACAAAAGCTTGTCCTATGTACAATGTCCTCTCAGTTGCTTTTAGGCCGGAACAAAAGCTTGTCCTATGTACAATGTCCTATGTACAATGTCCTCTTAGTTTAGACCAGAACTCCCTATTCACCCCCCACTTACACACTTTTCGACCCCTTTATTATTTCAATGACAACGCTTACATTTTTTAATGCATCCTTCAATGAATCGACTTCTTAACGAAGACCTCAGGGAAGACCTCAATTAAAGGGTCCTTCCCCCCCCCCTTTTTTTAACTATTAATCTCTTTTTATTAAACGTTTTCGTTCATCTCGCCACGTTGGAATGTTCCCCCCCTCCCCCTTGCTTCCACGCTACATTCATTACAGCTTGTGGATTACAGAACACACAACGTCCACCTTGTAAACACACAGTTGATACTTCAACAGGTCTGTGAATAATCTCTTACAATACCTGTCAGTTCTAAAGTCTATGTCTAGAGGAAAAGACTATACTAGTTGTTACGTGCGCATCTTAGTGTAAATGTGAAAACGTGCGCATCTTAGTGTAAATGTGAAATGGTGCGAATGCGTGTTGAAAATAAAAAAAAACAAAATGGAGGAATATGAACAAGAAGGTGTTTTCAGTGTTAATAAAGATTAAAGTATTTATAAACGGTGATTTGTCGTTTTCCCTGTCTAAAGAGTTTCATCTAATATGAAGACGTAACAAGTGGCGCCCAACGTAAAAGGTAAAACCCACATATCCCTCTATACACAGTGGATCTCCTGTCAACAGACAGTAGAGATAGTAAAGTCTAGATCTAGAGACAGGAGAACATTCGAGTCAATATTATTAGAAATAGATTATGGCGGACAAGGCTGAGGTAGCAGCGTTGAAGGAAGAGGGAAGGTTGTTGGAGCTGGAAGGGGCAGAACTAAGAAAATACGTACAAGAAAGGTTAATGGAGAGGGAGAGATTAGCGATGGAAAGAGAAAAAGAAAAGGAGAGATTAGCGATGGAAAGGGACAAAGGAAAGGAGAGATTAGCGATGGAAAGAGAAAAAGAAAAGGAGAGATTAGATAAGGAGGACAAAAGAGAAAGAGACAAAGAAAAGGAGAGATTAGATAAGGAGGACAAAAGAGAAAGAGAAAAGGATAAGGAGATAGTAGCAATTGAAAGGGAAAAGAAAAATGAATTAGTTGCCATTGAAAGAGAAAGATTAGCGTTTGAAAAAGAGACAGCAGAGAAAAAGTTAAAAACAAACCAAGAAAAAGAAAGTGATAAAAGAAAGAGTGACACTACAGGGAATAAACTAGCAAAATATAAAGGTGCGATATTTGAAGAAGCTAAAATGGACATAGACATTTTTTTGAAGAAATTTGAAATTGAAATGAGAGAACTGGAATACCCCGAAGACAAATGGTCATTCTTATTATCAAAGTCATTTGTAGCAGAGGTTCCATCAAAGATATGCATGAACCAGAGCAACTATAGCGTGGTGAAAGAACAATTACTGCGAACGTACGGAAAAACAGAGGCGTACTACCGTGAACAATTTGTTAACTGTGCGATCGAAACAAATGATGACCCACAGACATTCTTGGACAGAATGACCAGTAGTTTTGAAAATTGGACTGAAACCGCTAAAATAGAAAAGACATTTGATGGTCTAAAGACATTTCTAATGATTGACAAAGCAATTTATGAGTGTCAGGAGGAATTAAAAATATTTTTGTTGGAGAGGAAACCAAAATCCATAGAAGACATAGTAAGACTGATAAGGGCCTATAAGGTGGCACATCCCGATAAGAAACTATCCAGAGGCATAGAAGAAATAGTTGCATTTAACAGAACAAGAGATACACGAGACAACTACATCAACAACGGCAGACGATTTAGATATGATGAACAAAATAGGTTTAGAGGGCAAGGAAGGAACCAAATTGGTAGTAGACAAAGCCAGTTTTATAGTAACCGAGGTCGATACCAAAGAAATGTACAGGGACGATTCGGCGGAGTAAGAGATCGAAGAGATCAAAGCCTGTCAATGTTAACATGTGCCGGAAGCCTTGAGTATTTTGAGACCTTCGTGAGAAACAAAATAGCAAGGACGATACGAGATTCAGGCAGTACAATAGTGGGTGTTAATAAGAAATTAGTAGAAGAACAAGACTATACCGGCAAAACCAGGAATTGTGTGATGTTTGATGGGAAGACGGTACAATTACCAGTTGCTAGAATTAAAATTGATACACCATATTTTACTGGAATTGTGGATGCATGTGTAATAGACCATGCTCACATTGATTTGATTATTGGAAATATTCCAGGTATAAAGAATTGCAATGAAAAGGATATGGGAAATTGGAAGAAGTGTTTCGGAATGAGTATAACTCGATCCAAATGTAAGGACCTGGATGCAGGAGATCTGGAAAAATTATTTCAGTTACCAGATAAGAACGAAAAAGAAGAAGGATTATTAGAAAACGCAGAAACATTAGAACTTAATAATGTAGTATTCAACAAGGAAAGGTTTATTACAGAACAAAAAAATGACCCAGAGACGCGTCAGTTGGCCCAGAAAGGAGGTAGAGGAGGAAAATTTTATATAGAAAGAGGAATTTTGGTAAGAGAAATTGAGTCACAAGGAAGCAAAATTATACAGGTTGTTGTACCAGCTGAATTTAGAAATGTCATATTGAAGAATGGGCATGATGAAGCATATGCAGGCCACATGGGAATTCACAAAACGAAACAAAGAATATTTAGGGACTTTTATTGGCCATCTATTAGTAAAGACATAAAAAATTATGTGTTGTCGTGCAAAGTTTGTCAAATGAAAGGCACTAAAAAAATCAGAGCTCCATTACAAAAGGTAGATATACCAGAAAGGCCATTTAGGAAGATTGCGATTGATTTGATTGGACCCATGCCGGTGATATCAAATAGGGGTCATCGATATATTCTAACTGTGATAGACGTGTGCTCAAGATGGCCAGAAGCTATTCCACTAAAAAGAATTGAAGCCAGTGATATAGTTCAAGCGTTATATACATTATTTACACGGTTTGGATTTCCTGAAGAGGTACTGTCAGATAGGGGCACACAGTTCCACTGTCAACTAACGACAACATTTTTGAAAATGTTTGGAATTCGGCAAAGGTTTACAGCCCCGTACCACCCGCAGAGCAACGGTATTTGTGAACGTTTTAACTGTACGTTAAAGAAGGCGTTATCGAAAGTAGCAGATGACAATCCCAAAGAATGGGATGTGGCCTTACCCTCAATTCTTTTTGCGTACAGAGAGAGCCGTAACGAAACCACGGGGTTTTCGCCATTTCAGATGATTTATGGAGGAAATCCAAGAGGCCCAATGGCAATTCTAAAAGAACTAATACTCCCACAAGAACATGTTGGAAATAAAGAAAGTTACGATATAGTGACAGAAACCAGAAATAAAGTAATAAAGGCTTGCGAAGAAGCGAGCAAACATGTGCTTGACAAAAATGAACTAACACAGTCTAGGGTGAATGAACACAGGAAATTGACCAAACTAGAAGTAGGTCAAGATGTTTTAGTATTACTAAAGGATAAGGAGAATGTACTATTCACGAAATGGTTGGGTCCTTATAAGGTGACAAGGAAAATTAGTGATGTGGATTATGAAATTAAAATTGATTCAAGGCTGAAAATATTTCATGTGGATATGCTAAAAGAATTTAGGTCGCAACAAAAAAGTGAAAAAAGCAGTAAAGAAGACCCATTGGTCATAGGTGCATCCGTAAGTGTAGACTCTGAGACAGAGGAAAGATTGGGACACATAGAAACAATTTCAACTGATGTCAGTCAAACATGGAAAGATGTGGAAGTGACGGGAATCTCGTCGGACAGAACTAAGGAAGTAACAACATTATTAGAAGATTTTAAGAGTATTTTTACAGATTTACCAGGAAGAACGAATATCATAGAACATGATATCAAATTAACAGGTAGAGTTCCAAATAAACTACCACAATATGCTGTACCATTGCATCATAGAGAAGCGTTACAGAAAGAAATAGATGAACTACTTAAATTGGGAGTGATAGAGCCATCTAAGTCGTCATGTGCTGCACCAGTTGTGCTGGTTAAAAAAAAATGTGGCAACATTAGACTGTGTGTGGATTACCGTCAACTAAATAAAGTTACAGAATTTGACCCATTCCCAATGCCACAGGCGGAGGAAATGTTTACTAAATTGAAAAAAGCGAAAATTTTCACTACGTTGGACCTTTCTAGAGGATACTGGCAAGTACCTCTAAAGGCAGAGGCTAAACCACTATCCGCATTTAAGACACCGTTCGGCGTCTATCAGTGGAATGTGATGAGTTTTGGCTTGGTAAATGCCCCAGCCACTTTTAACAGGATGATGGCAAAGATACTGGGCCACAGAAGAGACACAATTTGCTATTTAGATGACATCTGCATCTTTAGTGAGGATTGGAACGAACACTTACAGAGTCTAGGAGAGATATTTGCTATTATCAAGAAAAACAATTTGACATTAAAACCAACAAAAATAAAAATTGGACTTAGTGAAATTCCTTTTTTGGGATACAAGATAAAAAATGAATCAATTACACCACTGGAAGAAACAGTTAAAAAAATAATGGATATTAGTATACCAAAAACAAAAAAACAAATTAGAAGTCTTTTAGGTCTTTGCAATTTTTATAGAAAATTTGTTCCAAATTTTGCAGAAATGATTGAACCTCTTACAAATCTTACAAAGAAAGGGAAATCTAACACTGTAGTTTGGTCTGAACAATGTCAAAGATCGCTAGACAAGATTAAGAGGGTGTTTTCTGAAAAACCAATATTAAAATTGCCCGATAGTACTAGAGAATTTATTTTGGCAACGGATGCTTCATCCATAGCTATAGGGGGCTGTTTGATGCAAGAGTATAGTGGAATTGCACATCCTGTTTTTTATGTAAGCAGGAAACTAACCCTTGCAGAGTTAAACTATGCAACTATTGAAAAAGAGGGGCTGGCAATAGTGTGGTGCATAACAAAGCTAAGTTTTTATCTGATGGGGGCTAAATTTCAATTATGGACTGATCATGCTCCGTTGGCATTCATTAATTTAAATAAATGTGGTAATAATAGAATTGCTAGGTGGGCATTACAACTGATGGACTATAAATTTGAGATCAAGACAATACCAGGGAAAGAAAATGTTGTGGCAGATACATTATCACGCTGTACTTAAAGGTTGTGGAGATTGTGTAAAGTATATCATGACTATTGACATTCTGTTAAGAATTAAGCTATTTTATTGTGTACATTGGTAAATTCTGGCACGGAGTGTAGTAGATATTCAATAGAGAATTGTTCAATTGTGGGTGTACACAACAATGATTTGTGAGCAGATATAGATTTGGATTGAATTATAGGCGGGGAGTGGTATAAACGAAATCTGCATGATTCCATAGAGATATGTATAGATATATATGTGTCCATTTTTCATAATAACAATTAGTATTGTCATGGTTACTGTCACAACTGGGGAATATAAATGTTATATGTTAATCTAATGTTAGAAGTGTATTATTATTAATATGTCATTGTGTATGATTTTGGTTTGTATTACATTGTGGTTCCCTATGTTACAGAGAATTTAGATTATTTTTTTTTAACTTGGAATAGGCTGATAAGATATGTGGTGATTTGTATTTTGGACGTTCGATGTACATCAAACTTGTCAAACAGGGGGGGTGTTACGTGCGCATCTTAGTGTAAATGTGAAAACGTGCGCATCTTAGTGTAAATGTGAAATGGTGCGAATGCGTGTTGAAAATAAAAAAAAACAAAATGGAGGAATATGAACAAGAAGGTGTTTTCAGTGTTAATAAAGATTAAAGTATTTATAAACGGTGATTTGTCGTTTTCCCTGTCTAAAGAGTTTCATCTAATATGAAGACGTAACACTAGTATTACCTACACACGCACACGGGCGAAATCATGACCTCTGCTGTCTAAAAGAAGAAATCTCTATATTTGATATTATAGTTGATATTGTTTAGACTAATTTCTAAAAAGAAGCGTAATGAACAATTAAATAAAACGTGACGAAAATTATAACTTAAGGGTAAAAAAATATGGAAGCCTTGATTTTTGTATTCTTTGTTTTGAAGCTTTATATACAAAATGTCTTTATATCATATAATTATACTAGACATTTTTTACCCGCGACCCGCGAGTCTTTATTTGCGTATTACTGTGGATATAGTCACTGAGAGTGTTTTGTAAACATTTAAACGAAATAATAATGTAATAAATAAAACGAATGTGTAAATGTAAAAATAGTATGAATGAAGCCATCAAATCAAAATAGCTAACCTACTTAAATCCATTTTTTCAAATTAAAACATTTGCTTGTAGGCCTACATATATTTGATTACAATTTGAAATAAATAGACACTTAATTTTGTATGTTCATGTGTTCAAGTATAAAGTAGATCTTGAGGTAGACATAGATCTAGATTTAGACTAATCTAAAGTTAAAAATTGGCTTTTATAGAGTTCATTCATGCTGCGTGAAGGCTTTGCTCTGCGCATGCGTGACCTTTTTTTCATGAATGAATATAGGCCTATCTCAACACGGCTACGCAGCTTTAGCGAACAACGAACGAATGTATTAAAAATGCTTTAGAAAAACAAATTTGAATGTTAATTTGATTAAAATTTGAAATGAATGGACTATAATTAGTATGTTCATTTGTTAAAGCATAAAACTATCTTTGCGAAAAGAAGTTTTATCATCTTAGAGCTCAATAAGAGTTATAGACCTAGGAATAGACTCAGTAGAGAGATGTGTTAATGTGTAACCATTTGGTAATGTCTAATGAAAGAATGTGCATCGCGATATCTAAATTCGCAGATACAAATAACGAATTAATGTAAAAATGCTTTTGAAACACAAATTTGAAGGTTAATTTTATTAAATAATGAAATCAATAAACTATATTTTGTATTTTCATGTGTCAAAAAAACAAACTATAAGTGCAAAGTTTAGTTCTTAAAATTAGATCTAGATCTAAATCATTTTGATCTTTTCTCATGTCAACATTGTAAACATGGCCTAGATCCATAAAATACTATAGCTGTAATAGAGTTGGTCTTTTTTTTTTTTTTAGGGTCTTAAGTTTGTTTTAGGGCCACAATAAATACACTACGGTCTAAGTTGGTACCCAAGGAACATTTCTGCCAAGTCATATCAAGATTGGTCAAGCGATTTTGATTTCTATACGGGGACATACATACATACATACATATATACATACATACATACATACATACATACATAGGCCTACATACATACATGCGCCAAACATTCTACTTTATATATTAGATAATGTTGCCTTTTTGGGGAATTATATTAAAATAAAATACAAATGTTTAGAATTTAGAAGCTGAGCTGGTTTGGTCCTATTGTAAGACATGACTCACTCTAAAGTCAATCTTTAAGGAACAAGGGAGAGAACTCGAAGAATGGTCGTCCAAAGAAAAGCTGGCTGGACAATGTAAAAAAATGGACGAGGGATTTGGTTACGCTCACTGTCGTCACGGCATACCAACGAACTGTCGTAACAGCACCCCTACGAAGTGTCACAGCACCCCTACGAGCTGTCGTCACAGCACCCCTACGAACTGTCACAGTACCCCTACGAAGTGTCACAACACCTCTACTAATTGTCACAGCACCTCTACGACAAAAGTTCACATGTATGACTGGGTAGCCGCTGAAATACTGGCTCGTACTTAATTAATCT